CCTCTCTCTGCGTGCGTTTTTTACTCTATGCTTCATATATTGTAATTGAATGACTTAGGGTTATGCCTTGACTTTTAAAGGAAAATGGCGGAGAAGGCAGTGACTATCAGAACTAGGAAGTTTATGACCAATCGACTCCTTTCCAGGAAACAATTTGTAAGGACTGGATAATTGTATTTATTTGAATATAGTAATTTATTGGTTTTATTCACTTTGTGAACTTCTCTTTCACTTAATGTTTGTTATTTATGGGTTTATTTGGTAGATCATTGATGTGCTACATCCAGGGCGACCCAATGTTTCCAAGGTTTGCTCCTTTACAATATAAGAAAATCTATTGCATTTTTTTGTGATTTTGTTTTGTAATACATTAGTCCATAAGAGCATAACTTCAAGACGCATGCAGGAATATGTTGTGTAGTTTCTAGAATAGATTATATTTTCTCCTTGTATGACCTTATTTCATGTTTTAACCAAAATATTTTCTTTTTAGAGCTATAACATGTGTGAACTAGCAATAATGGAATGATGGGAAATAGGAAATGGAGTGGACGAGTAATAATAAATGTTTATAGATACAAAACGAAGCTGGTGTATGGTGATTTTTTTAAACTAGTCTCAAGTTCTCTCATTGCTAAATTCTAGCTTTACGCTCTATATTTTTCTTTTACAGTAAATTTTGAGATGAAGTGTTTGTCCCCTTCAATTTCACGGACTTGAGCAATTATTATGTGATTTTGTTGTGGATAGAAGTATACAACTTTATATCTTACCTATTTATCTTGTTACTGCAGGCTGAACTAAAGGAGAAATTGGCGAGGATGTACGAGGTTAAAGATCCCAATGCTATTTTTGTGTTCAAATTCAGGACTCACTTTGGTGGAGGCAAATCTACTGGTTTTGGCTTGATCTATGATTCTGTTGAGAATGCTAAGAAATATGAGCCAAAGTATAGACTCATCAGGGTAATTCCTAGCCCTATCCAACTTTTAATGTAGTCTTGTACGAAACATATGAAGTGCCTTTTGCAATTTACTTATGGATATTGAGAGTCATATTGTTAGCAGTTCTTGGGTTGTCTTTTTTATGACGAAGGTTTTTCTTAACTAGGACTGGGGGGGAATGTGAAATATGTATACTTGCTTGTAGATAGTTATTTTGTTTTATTTCTCGGTCTTCTATTGTTGAGATGGTCAATAACAAGTCACTGAATTGAGCTTCGTGACAGTATAGAATCATTTTGTTTAATACATTCCTTGGTACGCTGTAATACCCATGTTTATATTCCCTGGGCAGTCGTTTTTACTGCACATCATTTAGTAGATAGACACGAAACATGTGCCTTCTCCCAAAATTGTATTTGTTTTTGAACTTCATTCTTCTTCTGACTCAGTAGCTCTTTTATTAGTGTGCTAACTTTATAATATTTTTTCTTCTTTTATGTATATTTGTAGAAAAGGCAAAAATTTCCTGTTAGTGAAATATTTTTATATTGCCTCTGATAACTTGGTCATTCTGGGTCTGTGTTCTATGATGGTTGATTCGCTCCTCTAAAATCTTAAAATATCATAACCTTTGTATGCAGAATGGTCTTGATACCAAGGTTGAGAAGTCTAGGAAGCAGCTGAAGGAGAGGAAGAATAGGGCGAAGAAGATCCGAGGAGTAAAGAAGGTAAGAGTATATGAGATTCTGTGAATTATGTTTGTAAAACTGTAAACACATGAACCTTGAGGGGTTGTTCAATTGGTCAGGCATTGGGTTTGCTCCCCAATGGTTACCAGTTCGAATCCCCTTAGGGCCACTGAGGTGAGTAACCCGGTTGTAAACTTCAGGCCCCGTAGGATTAGTCGAGGTGTGCGCAACCTGGCTCGGACATCCACGGTTATTAAAAAAAAAAAAAACTGTAAACACATGCAAGGGTTCTTCACACTATTTGGTCTAAGTTGAAGTTATAATTAACATGAAAATACTGCTAGCTTATTCATGAAGAACTTGTGTGTTAAGAAAAGCAGAGAGGTAGCTTTTCAAGCACTTGAAGACTTGAAGAGAAGAGATTGAAAGACATTGCCTTGTCTTAATATAACCTTTATGACAATTTTGATCACATGAAATTCATATGTTATCTGCTTTTGTTGTGCAGACAAAGGCTGGAGATGCGGCCAAGGCTGGGAAGAAGAAATAAGTTTCTAGGATTTTGTGCCTTCCCGGTTTATGAATTACATGGGAAGAGCACTGTCTTTGCAGTGGAGTTTCTGTACCATCGGCTATTCTTATTGTACCTTAGTCTAATTTAAAAGTGTCTTAATGTTGAATTGTTAAAAATTATATGGGATGTTTAGGTCAGATTCTAATCAAGTCTATCTCAATTACATAGTTTACACGAGTTAAAGAATTCAGCTTTGCATTGTTATGATCTCTTTGTTTGCTGGTTGAACATGTAGTGCTGTGAGGAACCGGATTTAAATAATCTCTTTGTATTCAAATTGGAGATGGTTATGCTATTGGAAACCTAATTGAAAAACTTGGAACTTTTATTTTTTATTTTTTATCTTTAATCTTAGTTGACTCTATTTGGATTTCAATGTAAACGGCCTGTTATAAGTAGGCTTAATAGCAGAAAACCCTCCTACATATTAAACGTTTCGCGGAAAGCTCCCTTATTGGTAATAACAGAAAATGTCCTTGTTTGAAAGCGGAATACAATATTTTAGGTGCAGTAAATCTCCCTAAAGTATGCTATTCATAATAACAAATTTTTACAACTTTATTCTTCGCTCCACCCCACTTCATCAAGCTCAAAAATTAGCAACCGTGTTGAATGGGTGTAGGCGTGAAGCTAAAATAGTGCCCTAGAAACCAAAGTTTCCTATGTGAATCTTCCAGTGATGGTTGGAAAATTTCATTTTCCCCTAAAGAAAAACTCGTATCTTCTTGTCTT